CTTGCTTGTTCCTCCAGACCAAACATTTTTCTATGTGGGGAACCTGCCTAAATCCACCAGTGGTCACTTAATAGCTGCCAGAGGCATAATTTAGGCTTGAACTAGTGACCTCATCCCTTCCTCTCACGTCTGCTGAGGGACAGACTGATGTCATTGACTGTTTACATTTTGGTCTCTGAGCCAGCCCAGCTCCTTCGCCTGGGGCCCAGCAGGGATGGAAGGGTCCTAAAGATGTAAAACCAGTGCTGCTCCCTGACACCGCTTTCCTGGCTTGGGGCTGTTTTGGTAAGTTAGTAGGAAAGAGCAACTTGTACAAGTCCTTTTTAAAGTAGAGTTCTCCCTGCCTGTCATATCACCTGCCGGCAGGGGCCGAGGGGGAGAGTGCCGCCCGTGCCGTTTGTACTGGGCACCAGCGCAGGCTATCGTTTTGTCTCACCAAATAAATGCAACGCAAAGCCCTGAGGAGTTCACCGTGGCGGCTTTGCAAGTTGTATCTGTTATTACCGACAAATCGATCTCGCTTCTGCCCTGAGTCATAGATGCTGTCGGGATCAGATGAGAAGACCCGGGTTTGTCTGGAGCGCCAGCAGGCAGGACCCCTGCTCTGGAGAGAAGCCGGTGGGGACTGCAGAGAGCTGTGGCCGAGGAGGAGGACCCTGTGTGGGGTGCTGACCCCAGCCCAGAGAGCCAGCGTTCACACAGGACTGTGTTTTATTCATCTCTTTTTCTCCTTCTTCTTCTGTTCTAAGCTGACAGGGGGTGAAGTGAAGCTGAAGGGACCCTTGAAAAGGCCAGGTCACTGATGGAAAGGAAAAAGGGCTTGGCAGATGGCGAAGAGCTTTCATGAGCAGCATGGGCTGCGGCCGGCTCCAGGGAACAGGATTGTTCCCCTAATCGGGCTGTGGGTCTGTCTCTCTGATTATTTTGTGTATTTCATCTCTGCTGTCTGTCTCGCCCTTAATCTGGGCTCCTCTGTGCCAACAAAATGCTTAGCTCACTCCATTGTCTGAGAGACTAATTTGCACTGTAAATCTGATGCTTATCTTACATGACAGCTTACTGTGGGGTTTATTGCAGTCCTGAAGACAAACTAACTGGGGATGGCTAGAAAGCCTTCGACACATCATTTGGAGTATAGAACAAATACAACCTATTTCAGCTTGCTGCCAGGTTAGGATGTGGTCCCTTGTGGTCAGGGTCACAAGGGATTTCTCTTCCTCTTTTCAGATCTATTCAAACCTGAGTTTGTCTTGGGGGTACAGTTTCTGGTTTGTGTTGGAGCTGTTGGAATGCTTCTGGAACAGCCTCCCACCCTCCTAGGGCCAGGTCCTCCATCCCTGCTCCCTGCCACCCGTGGAGTTTTAAGGACCATGAGAGTGGCTGCAGACCAGCTGCAGGCAGCGTGCGAGCACTGGTGCTCCAGCATGCTGCAGTTTTGTTGTCTCTGCCTAGCTTAATCAGAAAGAACTTTTGTCCTTGTCTTTCTTCATTAGTATTTCCTGACACTTCCTCCAATATGTTTTAGCTCTTTGCTGGCAGAGTAGCATCCCCCCTCAATTTCATCTGCACTTGCCTCCTTTTCTCTGGTCGCTGGACTACCCACCTGCAGGCATTCATATATCATCTAAGAGATTTTCACAGTAGTGTTGTTCAGATAGCTGGGCAGCTCCAGAGGCCTAAATCGTCCTACAGAGGGGTTCCAGGTAGCCTCAGATGCACATTTACCTGGGGAGAGCCAGGAAGATTATTGCTGCTTTGATATAGCTCTTGGTTCTGCAGCTGAGCACACCAGGAGGTGCGTAATACATTGCAGTCCTCTGGGATGCAAAAGATCCTGCTTCCCCTGACAGGGGAGTGGGAACACAAGACCTCCCATCCTTGGAGGACTGTGTTCATTTGGAGGACCAGTCTGATTTTCACTGAGTAGATTCCTGCTTTACAGTTGCTTGGATTTCTGGATCCCTCTGTTCTTCCTGCCCTTGGTCTGAAGACAGAACACAAAAATGGCTGTACTGGGTAAGCTGTGTGCAGCAGTGGGGGGCTGGCAACTGAACTGGAAATGGAGCCAAGGACTCTCAGTAGCATTGAGGGAGAGGAGAAAAAAAAACACCTAGAGAAATTGTTGAGGAATAGGCAAGCAGTATGCTGTACACTGAGTAGAACTGTAGCTGCTTAGGCTACACCAGAAACTCTGTACTGACCCCTCTCAAACTCCATTTTGCTGCCCAGATTATCAGACAGATGTGTAACCTAAGGCTTATTCCAAGTCATCAGAGTTGGTGAACACCAGACTCCTCACAGGCACTGTCCTGAGACCTGCCCAAGGGAGAGCTCTCTATAGCCTGGGAGAAGCTCAAGGGAAAATGTACGACTCTGAGAAGACTCCAAAATCTGTGGAATTTTAGAAGCATCCAGGACAAAAGAACCTAGGAAAAGATCATCACACCACCTAATTCAGGCTCATGCCTCATCTAGGTTAGGCTGCTGTACGCAGCCTCCTTTGAAGGAGCCCCTTTCTCTTCCCTGGCTAGAAATAGAGTCAGAGGAATCAAATCACCTTACTTAAACTTCTGTGTTAAGCGCCTGAAAGTTAGCAATTTGAATTCTGAAGATAGCTTAATTTGTTTCTGAAGAGGCCTGGAAAATCCCCCTTTCCCACAGATAACACGGTGCAGTCTGAGAGTCTCCAGTGTGAATAGCTGGCCTCCCGTCTGCCCCGGTGCTTGTAGCGTAGGCAGCAGCTCTGATCTGTTTGGCAAGGTCAGGTTGTCCCTTCAGCCGTGTGCATCCAGCACCCTGGGGCAGCTGGTGCTTCCAAGGATAAAATCCGTGCCCTGCTGCTGCTGAGTGTTTTCTGTCAGACTTCTGGTTGGTTTGTTTAAAAAAAAAAAAGAAAAGAAAAAAGCTTGTTTTCCAGCAGTACTTAGAGACCCTACTGTGCTGCGTGACATGCGGACAACGGGAAGATAGTCTCTGCTCCAAAGGATTCACAGGATAGCTTGGCAGAAGCACACTGAACAGCAGATGTGGCGAAGACACGGCGTGAGACAAGTTAGTAACAGTAAGAGGAAGATGTTTGCTTAGACTGACTAGGTCTGACATCTCCATCAACCGGGGTGTGCAGCCTGCGAAGTCCCTGCAACTCGATGAGCGGCTGGGCCAGCCTCCCGGCACTCCCAAGGTCTTTGCTTGCTGGCGAAGGAAATCCACTGCCTACATCAGCGTTGGCTCTAATCTGTGTGGAAATGAAAGTCGGTGGAGGCATCAAAGGGGGGGTTCCAGGTAGAGTTTTCTGCTGCCTGGAATATTATTAACAATCAAGGAAAGAAGCTGCTACTGGGCTGGATAAACAAGGGGCCTTTCTTCTCGGGGAGTGGGGAGCTTTAGAGAAAGGGAGTGGGGGGAGCTGAGTGTGTCAGAGAGCGCAGTGGAAGGGCTGGGCTCTCAGAAGAAAGTGCATTCAGCCAGCAGCTCTTGGCTCCCTGCCATTAGCTGCGTTAAGCTTGTCCACCTGCTTAGGGTAGTCCATTTGTGCAGCCCAGTCTGCGCGGGTGGCTGAAGTGGGATGCCGCAGCCGGGCTGTCTCCCTCTTCGGCCCCAGGGACGGATGCCAGGCTTGTCCCTGCGCCCGTGCCGGGCAGACGGGTGCAGGCAGGGCTGTGGGGTGCAGACTGGCTCCTTCCTTGGGGCGCTGGTGGAGCCTCTGCAGCGCTCTGCTCTGAGGCAGTGGCTGGTGCTGACACGGCCCCTGTCCTGGGCAATCTGCAGAGGCAGGACTGCACCGTGTTTTTAAGCAGGCTTTCAGAAAGCCATTTCCATCCCTGTCATTTCTGCACTTTTCAGGAAATGGGGTGTGCATTTAGCAGGGGGCTAAAGCCCTCCTGCTGCATCAGCGCTGAGCAACCTGTCTTCTGAGTAGGTAATGGGTTAGAAGGGCTGCTGCTGCTCCTGGGATCCTGTATTCCCAGCTGGCGCTTGCTTTTTTTCCTGCCAGGATTGCTTTATTGTATTTTTGCAATTATTAGTAACTCATCTCGTGTACGGAACTGGCAGTGAATCAAAAGTCAGAGTATCCAAAATATCTCACCCCCACAAAAAGAGCAGCTCCTCCTTTGCTGCCTGCACGTAGCATTGTTAGCTGATGCAAAGGGAGAGGATTGTGTGGAGGCCAGCAGGATTGCTGTCAGGTTTGAATCCCATGAGCAGCAGTTCAGAGTCAACCCTTTCCCAAGAAGTGGCGAGCTGTGAACGTTACGTCTGCAGTGTTGTGGGCAGGTGCGATGGCAGCTTGGGTGGGTTTGTCATGCTGGCCTTGATCCAGTTGGCACAGGTAAACCAGCAGTGACATAGTGTAGCAACTTAAGCACTGTCTTAACACTATTAAATACATAGCTGAGATCTCCGGAGGGCTTGTACAACCTGAGGTGACATTTGTGTCACTATATCTTTACTGCAGTTTGCTATCTGTGCTAGCTCAATTACAGTTCTCATGGATAGGTCTGTGCTGTGCCTCAGTCCCGCATCTGACATTAGCGCAGACCTGCCTCCAAACAGATGCTGAGGACCTGCAGGCCACACAAATGTCAGCTGTTGCTATCTGCAGTTCATGCCTCCTATGCCAGCATTAGTCTTCGTGATTTACTGGCGTGAGCCAACACGCAGGGGAGGGGAATTACATCTTTTGTTAGTGGGATTTGCTTTGCTTTGCAGCACCGAGGCTTGCGAGTTTGGGGCTGTAACTGAGCCACCTTCTTCCCTTCTCTGTCACATGGGCAATTCTGCTCCCACCCCCTTCCTTCCCAAAGTTCTCTCCTGTTGTGCTGTAGGCCTGGGATCGCCGTGGTTCCTCCTTCAGGCACCGAGAGGTCTGGGGCTGCGAGGCACTGCGCATACGGGAGCGTGCGCCATGGTGGACAACCTGCCTGGGCTGGAAGAGGTGCCCAGGGAGAAGGTCTTTGGCACAGACGCTTCTAACCTTCCCTTTCTCTTTCTGCCCGCAGATGCCAGCAAGGAGCATCCACAGCAGCAGGCAGGGGTGATCTGGAGAGTGACGGGCGGCCTGTTCAGCATCACCCGGGGAGCCGTGGGGGCCACGCTGGGAGGAGTCGCCTGGGTGGGCAGCAAGAGCCTGGAGCTCACCAAAACAGCTGTGACCAGCGTCCCCGCTGCTGGCGTCGGACTGGTGAAGGGCAGCGTCTCGGCAGTGACCGGCAGCGTCGGAGCCATGGGCAGCGCGGTCGCCAGCAAAGTCCCTTTCACCGCAAAGAAGAAGGACAAGGCTGACTAATCCCTGTCACAGCTCCCTTCCAAAAGATCAACCTGCCCATACTCTCCCCCTACACAGCACCTCTTTGAGTTGGAACCAGCCGCTTCAGGGAGGGTCAAGCACCCGAGCAGACTCCGGCTGCAGCCTGCTCAGCACCGCCTGCCTGGCTCAGAGCCGCTGTCAATGCCTTTCACTCCCATCACCTACCGGGAACCATCTTTACTCCGAGGGCTTTAAAGGCGCCGTTGTCTGTCTTGCAGTTTCCTTCCTCCCTTCTTGCTCTTGTAAGCACAGAGGGGTGGGAGAGGGTGTCAGGCTCCATCTGCTTGAAGGTGGGGGGAGTAACAGGGGAGGGGGAGGAACTGTGCCTGGCTTGAAGTGTGGGTTGTGTAGTCAAATTCAACTTCGGCTGGGAAGACAGCCTCTGAAACACCCCTTCCCTTGGCTCTGGGCGGTGTGTTTGGGGGGTCTGCCCGGCAGAGAACCGTAGAAGAAAGTCCCATTGACACAAAGGAGAGATACTGTGAAGAGGGGGAAGCCTCCCTCCTGCCCTGCACCTTTTACCTTTTCTTTGCAAGGCCCATCCCACAAGCTGCTCCCAGTCACTTACTCCTTGGCTGAATTGCACCCTTCAGAGAAGGAACCCTCAAGCTCAGCAGAGCAGCTCCAGGGATGGTGCCACACAAGAGTATGATATGTCCTGGGCCATCAACTTCTGCACAGATTTTCCTGGTGAGAGGCAGGATGATGAAAGCCGCTGTATGTTCCCATTTGGGGAAGGAGCTGACAGTGGCATCTGCCAGGCCTCTCTGATATTGCAGCACAGCACAGGTAGCGATGCTCCACAGAGAGACAAACCGAGCCTTTGGGTTTGACCCTTGAAGTCCTTGCAGTATCCCCGTCTGCAAGAGGGGCATTTTGACTCTAGACCGTACTCTCGCTCCACAGATGTCACTAGTAACAATGAGCAAGCGTGTTCCCAAATGCCACCCAAGTTCTGCTGCAGGGAGGGAGGGGAAGCTGAGAGCGTCACTCTCCCCGTGACTCAGCACCCCAGGAGCGGTGGCCTGGGTGTGAGTGGGCTGCACCACATTGGAGAATGCTTCCCCGAGGAGCTGAGCATGCTCCAGCAGCAGCCAGCCTGCACGGGGCACCAGCAACTCCTGCTCCACACACCGCTCCTGGGGCTCCAGCCCAGCTCCTCCAAATGACCGTGTTGCACTAAATAGCCCACCCACACTTGTAGTGCCGCAGAAACCCAGACACCTGCACCCACCTGGGAGTCACAGCCATCCTCAGCCTGGCCCATGATGCACAAGGGGCCATGTGGCATCGCGCACACACACACGTGCACACGCACACTCACTGACTCACTCCAAGGTCCCCTGTAATTCTTGGGATGAGGAAAGCCACAGGCTTCACCATTAACTCTGCTGCTCCTGACTTTGGCAGGTGATTAGCCTAGGTTGTTAGGTGTTGGATGCATAGGCAAGTGAAGCAGTGCTTGTGCTGTATTTTATAAATATGCGTCTGTGTAAGCGTGTGTGTACGTATCGGTCCACAGGCATGTCTTCAGCCAGGTAAACAAAACTGTGCCACTGCCGCAGAGGAGTTTACATAGTCATCGTTGGCACTTCCAGCATATAGTTTTTATATAGGGTCCTGTTCAAAGTAAAAATCATGTTTTAGAGGATGTTTTCCCCTCTGTTGCCCAAGAGCGTAGTTTATTGAAACCAAAGGAATGTGAAAAATCCCCTTTCTCCCATCTATGCGGTTTGTTTACTTTCTGCCCTATCTTTCGGACATTGAAGCCAACTTCCTTGATCTTCATTTCCCGTTGGAGGTTGTTGCGCTTCCTGGCTATTCTCTTGTGCTTAGGACTCGGACATCAGGGAATATTTAAGTACAACTCCCCCGCCACCATTTTGGCTGAATGTTCTTGAGCTTGTGAAGCAGTTTTCATTCAGACCTTTATTAAATCCACATTTTGGGCTGACGTAAGTTGCTGTGTCCCTGTACGAGTCTCTCTCCATACCCTTCGCTGGGCAGTCCCTGCTGTTTGCAGTGGCAAGAAGTTGCTGATCTCCACAGTGTGTTACTCTTGATAGCATGAGAGTGGTTTAACCTACATCATTGTTTCTGAAGAGGAAACAGCATTTCGTATGTGTGTGCATTTCCTCGCCTTGTCTGTTTTGTTCTGGTGAAGGCCAGGCTGACCCAGACGTGTCGGTTTTGTCTCTGAAGGCAGCGGCTTCACAGACAGATCAGGCCTTGATGTGTGCCTGTGCTTTGCTGGGGTGCTCGTGGCAGTTGGCAAGGCCAGAAGTAGTCTTGTCTGTTCTTCCTTTGCCTCAAACGCCCTGCAAAGCAGGAGGACAGTTTGCACTGCGTGGATCTCTGCTCGCTGCTCTCCCTGAGCGCATCTCATTTCTTATTCCAGATCACAGACTGCTCCTGAAGCCAGCTCTAACCCCAAAGTTAAAAGCTGCTTGTGCATAACTAGCTGTGCTGCCACCAACCCTCTTAGAAAGGTAGTTTCTTACCAACTGGGACAGAAGATGGTCTTCTTCCTAACTGCCTCTCCCAGGCCTTGGACAGGAGAAGACAATGTCTAAGGGGCTTTACTTCACCGGCCACCCCTGGGCAGGTGATGGGAAGCTTATCGTGCTTTTGGCTAACCAGTGTCCCACACAGGCTCTTGCTGGGGGAGGCGATACATCCTTCCCAAGCTGTTGTCTGCAGGCACTGTGTGTGCAGAGCAGGCGTGGAAAATGGGATAAAGGTGCATTAAGGAAGGCCATAGGGGTCCTGAGGGTTTCCCGACTTTTTATTTCTGCTCTTTTGCGCATCCTTGCAGTAAATGGAGTAAAGCTCTCCATTCACCTGGAACTGCCTTGCAGTTGGCCTGGAGAAGGAGAGAAGAGTTGTGAGGGGAACTCACAGCCTAAATCGCTGTTCTTACAGCCCAGCTAACGGAGAACCCATGGACCGTAACTAGCAAAAGAGATCAAATTAGCAGGCAAGGGTAGAAGATTAAATCTACTCCAAAACCAGGGCTTCACACCGCTTAACAGGCATTCAGGAATACGTAACTATGCAGGACTCAAAGGCCTCTGGAAAGGATGTCTCTTTAGCGTGGTAGGCCTGCTCGGTTCATCCAGGTGACCCAGTCCCCGGCTGCTTTTCTGCGCACTCTCAGTGCCAGAGCAGAAGGAAAACAGGGTCAGTGTTGCCGGTCTAAGAGCAAAGACGCCTCCTGAGAGCTTTGGTTGCAGGACGGTAGGGTCTGGATCGGGTACGGAAGCTGTTGGCTCCTGATGGATGCCCCATCTTTCCTCCTCCCCCACTATAGAGACTCCAGCCATCCCAAAAGTCCACCTGAGCCACTGGTGCAGCCCTTCTCCCACCGCCCCTTTGTGGCAAGAAGGGCAAAAACTACGTTGTGCATAAATCCCACTGCTACTAGATGGGGGGGTTGGCGCAAAATAGGGGGGGGCAGCACTGAGGTGGAGGGAAGGAGTGAAGGGTGTTAGTACAAGGAAGATAACCAGTTTTCAGGTGACAGTGAGAAGATGAGGAGGGACTGGTGACAGGAGGAGGCGAGGAGTGGGGGAGCAAGAAAAGGGGAAGCGTGGAGGGAATTTGTTTCTTAGGACAGGCTCTGCATCAGAGGATGAACACGATCGAGTTTGTCCTAGGGAGGAGCACAGAAATGGAAGTGAGCGAATGTGGGTTTTGGTGTGTGGCGGTGGTCCACGCCTGGCTGGTGCCCAGCTCCCATAGTAGTGATGATGGCTAGGGGTTTCCATTTAGATAGATCAGTGTGCCCAACGGATGGTCCAAGCGCCAGATCAGCTCCCTCCTTACCACCACCCCCTTCCCAGATCTCCCCCAGGCTTTTGTTATGGTCTCCCCGTGGTGGGGCTGGGTCTCCCCCATGGTGGAGGTGGGACGTGGCCCTACACGCAGCCCCGTGCCCCGCTGCGGCTGGACGTTCCCCATGCCCAAGGAACGTGCCCCGGCTGAGAGGAGAGCCCACGGGCACATCCTCTCCTCCTTTTCTCTTTGCTCATCTGATTACTCTTCACCTTCATTTTTTATCCCCCCCTTAGCTTTCTGTCTTGCCCTTGGCTAGAGCTCTCCAAAGCTCCCACCGAGCCCTTCGTTAAACATCCACACTCATATTGGCTGGGAGGGCAGAGAGGGCGACTCTGCCCCCGCAGCTTCCCTGGCTGGGAGAGAAGTGCATGTCTTCCATCCCTCTCCCTCCCCTTGTGTTTTGTGTGTGGAAAATCTTAAGCCACTTCTTTTCCTCTGGGTTCCCTCGTTGGCTCTTGTCCCTGTGGGTGGGTCATTTCTGTGTCTCCATTGCAAAGTCATCCTTGTAAAAACAACAGTGTGAGTGGGAACATGGAGATGGCTAGAGAGAGAGGCGCGGAGCTGCTGGGACAGATGCCGAGGCCCGACTCTGCTTCTCTAAGAGCCAAGGAGCCCTTTGGCAACCCAAAACCGTCACCGTAGCCACGCAGTCCCGTGTACGGTGCTGGGCTCCGGAGGACACTTTTGTTCTTTATCATTTCATTGTCTGTAATTGGTTTCCTACTGAATTTGTTTGCTTGGTTTGTTTTGCAGTGTGTTTCTGGGAATATTCTGCATCTCTGTATTTTAATTACAGTAAAATTTGAGGATAAAAACCTTGGTTATGCTGGCTCTTGTTTCCAGTGGGGGTAAATGAGGAGAGGAAGCGCAGTTGAAGGAAGATGTTAGAGATTCCTTGGGAAATCAGATCTGTCCCCTAAGGGCTCTACACGAGGCACCGAGCAGGGCTGAACCTCCATCCCTGCTTAAACTAGGACGTGGCTTTCAACCGTGATTCAAAAGCCATTTTGCTGCAGGCGTGTTTCCTGATTGGAATGGTAAGAACAGTTTGGATAAGACTTCTAAACTCAATTTCTTGTGTTGGTTTAAAGACCAGTGCGTGAGAGGACTTTCAGGCTGGGGACAGCTGGCCTAGCCCTGGAAGTGGGATCTCAGCAGCCAAAGACGGGAAATTTTGCCTCTACAGCCGCTGTTTCTTCATGCAGGTTTGCATAGCCACTTTTCCCAGCTGAGGAAGCAAGGAAAAGCCTTGTTCCCCCCGCAGCAGCCTGC